ACTACTACTACTAATAATAATAATCATAATAAGAAGAACAATAATAGTAATAATACTAATAGTGGTGGGTGTAGCAGCAGCAGCAACAGCAGCAGTAGTAGTGACAATAATGACGATGATGGTGATGAGATTAAGGATGTAGAGGATGATGGTGATAATCATGCAGGCATGATGATGGCTCTCATGGTGAAGACAATCGTGATCATGTTGTTGTTGGTGATGCGGTGAATGCTGGCTCTTAGCGTCTTATTCAGCTGGTTTTCTGGCTGCTGCTGCTGCAGCAGCTGCTGCTTTGCCATTGATGCCGTTGTCGTTGCTGCTGCCTGCAGCTGCCCTCCTCTTTCTTGTCCTCCTCCTAGTCGTTGTCTTCGTCCCTCGTCGTCCTCGTTGTTAAGGTCTTCTTATTCCTCGCTTGTCTTGTCGCTGTTTCAGGCTTTTCTGCCGCAGTCTCATCATGAGTGCTGCTGCCGTCCCGGCTCCACCATCGCAGGTTCAGGCCCCCGCTCCGTTGTGGCTGCAGCTACACGAAGCAACGGCAACGACAATGAAGGCAAAGTACCGTTTGGGCACGGGCCGCAGTTGCACGGCGCTGCTTTCTGAGAGTTCATTTCCGTGGTGATTCAGATGCGAAGTTTCTGCAAGTGCCAAGGCTACATCATCGATGAGACGGCTACCTGTGACTGCGCGACCTTGCACCGCCCCCAGGGTGGATATACACCCAACGTAGTGCTGCGACATTTGTTACCCAGGTCTTTGGAGCTCCGGGCCGATGATTCGGATGTCTGGAACTTCTTCCCGGGACAGGATGACAGCTGCACAATCACAGGCTGTACCAGGGAAGCTTGGTTCTGGGGATAGACTCGGTGCCGGGGCTCCTGATCAGCACCTTGGTGGAACCGAGTGTCAGCTCTGCTGTGGTGACTGTGGCTTTTGGCTCGAATGTCGCTTGAGCCAACTTTTGGGGCCGAGGAGTGTTCTATTCGGTTCTGCCATGGGGATCTCTAGAAGCACAGCTTTCAGCAGAGATTGTTGCCAGGCCGACTCGGGGTGCAGGGAGTTGATTTGCTTCGGTTTGGATGTCGATACCAAGCACTGCAAGGCAGACAGCCACTCTAAGACTTCAAGACAGGGCTTAGCCGCCCTCGTGCAATCGTGTGCAAGTCAATTTTCCCAGCCATTTTCTTGGTCCGTTACGCTTGCAGCGATGTCTGCCAGGTACTCAGTCCATTTCGCCTTGGCTTTGCTTGTCATGTTTCGCACGGTCGCACGGCTTGTTCTACTAGTACTATGCTCTGGCGGAGGGTTTGATGTCGTGCGATGCCGGGTGCTGAGGTCACCACTTATGATCTTCGGCTGCATTGGAGGAACAGACCTAGATCCAGAGCGAGAGAGACGCCAGAAAGCTACCGAGGACAGCTCCTTCAGTTACCGTCAAGACCAGGTGGCCCGCCTGGGAGATCGGGCGAGGCCTTGGGGAGTGACACGCACCATAAGAACGACTTCGGAGTCCAGGGCTGAATGTGTCTACTTCTTGCCAGTCTTCGCATCCGATTAGGGTGGGATAGGTCGAGTGATTCGGAGTCCAGCAGTCCAGTGGCGTCCTTCCGGACAGCTGCAACGCTATCAGAGATCCGATTTAGATTGTGGTCAGGCCCGAGACGACAGAGGAAGATCGACGACTCTTGGTCCCAGATCACAGCAAATCTCTTTCTTCTTGCTCATTTTCTTGTGAGGTTTTGTGTTTGAACAAGATGCTGTATCTCTGTCACTTCTGTTGCTCGTTGCAGTCTTATCAAGCATCTTCTGTTCGTGGCTGTTTGCAGTGCTTTCATGTTGCAAAGAAATGCAAAGAACAGGAGGAGGGTTGTCGCATAATAACATGTTGTATCGCTGGTACAACAAGCATTCTCCTGATCTACACCTCTGGTTTCCCACTACCTCCACGACCAGTGCCGTAACCCTTGCTGCTACTGCTGCTGCTGCTGCTGCTGCTGCTGCCGCTGCTGTTACTACTGCTGCCGCTACTACTCCTGCTGCTGCTGCTGCTACTGCTACTGCCACTGCTACTTCTACGTACCACCACCACCACCACCACCACCGACCGCTACTGCTACTGCTACTGCTGCTGCTGCTGCTGCTGCTGCTGCTGCTACTGCTACTACCGCTACTGCTACTGCTTCTGCTGCTGCTGCTGCTGCTACTGCTGCTGCTGCTGCTGCTGCTGCTGCTGCTACTGCTATTGCTGCCGCTGCTGCTGCCGCTGCTCCTGCTGCTTCTGCTACTGCTACTGCTACTGCTACTGCTACTCCTACTGCTACTGCTGCTGCGACGACGACGAAAACGACTACTACATCGATTCTGCCCCCCCCCCCTCTTCTTCCTCCTCCTCCTCCTTCCTCCCCGTACAGCTTCCAAGATTGTCGACGACGGTTGCATGTCAGCTTGCTTACTGCGTGCGCCCCGAAAGCTGCAAGGAAGATTCCAGGCCAGCCCGTTCATGCAAAGAATGCGGGAGATTGATGAGAAAGCCTGGCAGCAGTTCAGTGAGAGGGACAAGAAGCGGTCCCAGACAGATCCAAGTTTCAGCCCCAAAGACACAGATTTCGAAGCTCCCAAGTCTTTCAAGTATGACAAGTCGGTGAACTACTACAAGACACTCGGTGTCGAGGAGTACGCCACCAACGATGAGATTAAGAAAGCCTACCGGAAGCTGTCCCTCAACTACCATCCCGACAAGCAGACCAACAAGACTCAGGAGGAGAAGGACGAAGCGGCAGCCATCTTCATGGAGATCAAGAATGCCTACAAGCTCCTGGCCGATGACCCCACCCGGCGGCAGTATGATTTCGAGCGTGATCGCGACAACGTGAGCGCCCAGAGCCATGGGAAGAAGCCCCAGGAGAAGAATGGCTTCGACGCTGGGGAGGCGCTGCAAAGGATGATGCAAAAAGCCAAGGAGAACAAGAAGCTTCCAAGCGAGATCATCACCGTGCCGGTGCACTGCAGGATAGAGAAGTTCGTTTTCGGTGGCCAAAAGACCTTGAAACGCACAAGGCTCGTGAAGGACAAGAGCTACGGTGGTTTCAATGAGGAAGTGAAGACTTTTCGGATCGACCTCCCGGCTGGAGTGGAGCAGCCCTGGAGTGTGGACTTCCGGAGACAGGGCGACCAGCATGAGGGACGAGAGGCGGACACGATCCGTTTCCTGTTCTCGGCGAAGCCGCACTTGTGGTTGGATCGAGATGGCCAGGATATCAAACTGAGGGAAGCGATCCAGCTGGGCTCGTCCATGCGATCCGAGGCTTACTTGTCTGCTTCCATAGCACCCTTTTCGGGCCGCCAGGTCTTCATCTGGGGTCGAAATCCATTTCATGGATCCACTGCGGTGGCCGAGGAAGGGCAGTTGGCTGTGCAGCTGCAGGGCCTTGGCTTGGGCCCACAAGGAGCCTTAGCGTTGCTGTTGAAGCTGGGGATGGGAACCCGGCCCGAGAGTCATCGCCTGCACGTGCCGCCGGGACCCCCGGCCGGGCGCCGGCCCTTCCTGGAACGCTTCGGCCTCGCTCCCTCCGGCGGCTTCAGCGAGCCGCTGCCGGAGCCAGGCCTGGTGTCTGAGCCAGTTTGGGGTTTAGGCTTTCGGGTCCTCGTTCTCTCTTCCGTGACCTCAGGTGCCGGGAGCATGCTGCGGACCCTCCTGGAGCGACGCCAGTGCAGGAGAGAAATGCACGACAAGCTCACCGCGGACATCGAGTTGAGGCCGGATCAGGGCCACAAGGTGATAAGGTAAAGGAGTCTCAAGGGAATCAGGTGACGCGTGATGCCGTGTTCAGGCCCATCGGACAAACCATTCGGCTCTTCACCAAGCCACCGAGTACTCTTACTTTTCTGGCCAGCACAGCTCCAAAGTGCCTTGCTTCACATGAGTAGACCAGTGGGGACGGAGCGCCGAGTTTGGCGAGATGAGACGGAGAGTGCTCGGCTGAGGTACGAGCTTTTTGCAGTCAGCCTCGACTGTCCAGCCTGCGGTAAGAAGAAGGCTTCTGCGGATTGGGACCGGCTGAAGGCCCGGTTGACAACAGTGCTGCATCTGGGCATGACTTAGATTATCAGTGTTTCTCCCTAATATATGTGTATATGTATGTATGTATGTATGTATGTATGTATGTATGTAGATAGATAGATAGATAGATAGATAGATAGATAGGTAGGAGTAGCAATAATAAGAATGATGATGATCATGACAACGAACATGATAATAGTGATATATCTATAGTATTATAACTTTGATGTGAGACGATCTTCTGGACGTGACTCCGAGGCAAGAGACGGCCTTTATCCTTCTCGCACAGGCACGCAGTGTGCAGCCTCGGTGTCTGCTGGCTAAGCCGATCTTTGATGATAGGATCACGCTCTCAAGGGCTGATCGCCCCATGCCCTGGAAGAATATGGGCGATCAGGCGTTCAAGCAGGGAAGCTACTGGATTGCGTGTGCTGTCTACGCAAAGCGACTTGAGGAGTTGCGGATTGCGGTTCATCTGCAGGCGGATGATGCAGAGGAAGAGGCGTGTGAAGAGGAGGTGATCGATGTGAGCGGACAACGTGGCCCAGACTTGGTGCCAGAAGCCGCGAAGGTTCTCTGCAACAGGGCGGCTTGCCTCATCAAGGTGCAGGACTACCTGGCGGCCGTCGCCCATGCGAGGAAGGCTGCTGCCTTGGCTCCGCGCTGGGCTCGGGCTTGGAGTCGCTTGGGCCAGGCAGCGTGGGAGCTCGGGGACAAGTTCCGAGCCGAGGCCGCGCAGGCGTACGCCAAGTCCGTGGAGATGGACCCGCTGCCCTCCACGGTCCAAGCTCTGCAGAGCAGTGTCTCCCAGTTGCAGGGCCCGAATCCGGATGCGTCACATGCTGCCAAGGAGAAGGGGAACGAGGCCATCCGCTCAGGTCAGATTGGTCTGGGCATCGCGCTCTACACGCAAGGCATCGCTCAGCTCCCAGCGCCAACGTCAGAGGATCGGTCGAATTCCGACTCGAAGCCCGACGAGCACGCGCTGCTACGGGGAGTGCTCTTCACGAACCGCTCGGCGGCCTTCTCTCGTGTGCGAAGCTGGGACGCTGCAGTTAAGGATGCGAAGGAGGCAGTGGCAGCACAGCCAGGCTTGTCCAGTGCTCACTCCCAGCTTGGAGTTGCTTTGCTCGGAAGTGGCTTCCATCAGGAGGCCTACGTGCAATTCGCGCGGGGGTTCCAGTTGGATTCAGAGCACAAGCCTTCCATCAAAGGTCGCAACACCTGCCTCAAGGAGATGGTGGCCTGGAAGTCGGCCTCTGCCACTGCACGATACCAGAATCGCTTCTGGCTGGATCTCCGTCGACCCAAGGGATCCACGAGGATTTTCGCAATCTCCGACCTGCACTTTGATCAGAAGTGCAACGAGGATTGGGCCCATGCGATTGATGACATAGCCTTCCTGGACGATGTCCTCATTGTTGCTGGCAATGTGGCTGACACGAAGGTCGGGATGGCACGGGCGCTCACCACACTCAAGTCCAAGTTCCGGAGAGTCTTCTATACAGTTGGTAACCACGAAATGCAAATCGCGACGTCGGAGTTTGCACGTTATCCTGACTCTATCGCGAAGCTTTCTGAAATTTTCAGCACATGCGACGAGTTGGGAATTGATGTTTTCCCGGCCCCGGTGTGCGAAGGGATTCTAGTAGTACCGCTCCTTTCCTGGTGCAGTGCCGAATTCGACCATGAGGATCCGTTTCCGGATCCAAACTCCAACTTCAATCGTCGCTGCTCGTGGCCCATGGATCCGGACTTACAGGTCTGGAAGTATATGATGAAGTTGAACGAATCCTTCCTTAGCTTCCAAGGCTACGAGACCGTGATTACGTTCTCCCACTTCCTCCCGCGACAGGGCCTGCCTTTTGACAAGACCAGGAAAAACGCGGTGAAGGCTGTAGGGTGTGACATGATTGACGAGCAAGCGAGGGCACTCAAGAGCAAGCTGCATGTCTACGGTCATGGACGCGTGCGGTATGCTCAGATGCACTCGGGTGTGCGGTATGTCAGTCCACCTATCGGTTTCGAAGCGGATTGGCCGAAGGACCACCCTCCGCGCCTCATGCTGGTACATACCGGCAAAAGCCTCTGCATGCAAGAGTGGGGAGCAGACGATGAGCCTCCCTTGGGATATGTGAAGCGGCTTCTGAATTTGAGTTTTTACACCATGCCCGGTTTGCGTGAGAGCGAGCTTCGGAAGCTCCAAAACACAGTGCAGCGGCACAACTCCTTCACTGGGATTGCATGCTCTTTTGACCGTCTTGGCAGCAAGAACCAGGACAAAGAAGCACTGGCAAAAGATGCGTTCCCAGACTTTGCACAGTTGAGCAAGGATGCTACGCACGTCATGATCACGGTTGCAGACTGTCTGGACAACCTGAAGGACCTCTGGAAGAGTGACATTTTTGCGAAGGACTGGCCGGCAGCAATTGCGCCCCACGCACGCAACACGGTGTCTTTCACCACACCACTCGGCTTGGACCTCGTCCATGCAAAGAAGCGGGACCCGATGCTAATCGTATACGGCTTACGGTTGAGCGAAGCGGTCAGGGAAGATGGTGACGATTATGGCAAAATGCAGAAGGCGGTCGAGGCCATCAACAAGCTTCCCGGCATTGATGGCAAGATTGCAGTGTCTCTCCACCCTACGGGCTTCGCCCGGTTCTCGCACAGTGAGCTGTTGGAAGAGTTGGGTGAGAAGAATGACAAGAGCTGTGGGCTCACTCATTGCTTCACGGTGCTGGTGGATGAGCCCGCTAGTTACAAAATGCTTGCTCAAAGTAAGACTTTCGGAAAGTGGAAGTCTTCCTACGAGCCTTCCCTGGTCGGTCGGGGTCCGAATGTCATGGCTTTCGCCCTGCCACTGGATATCGCAGCAACGGCATCAGCTCCCAAACCTCCCAAAGGGACGAAGGGAAGCAATGGTTTTTCCAAGTCCAAGCGATGAAACTTCTGCCTGGATCCCTTCCAAGAGGCAGGCTGGACAGAGCGTCCATGCAAAGGCCTGCGATCGTAGATCCATGCCCGGCTGTCGTCGCGGTCCGGGGCTCGAAGCTGCTACCAGTCGGGCGCTCGTATCATTTCCATATCAGAAAAGTCGGCGGCATCCTTTGTTCCCTTTAGGTCCTTCGGTTGTCTGCAGATCCCGAAATCATGTGCCCTCTAGACACCCAGCGAGGCACCCGTGATTGTTTCCTGATCGATGCCGCAGCCTCAGTGCAGCCTTTGTGCTTTGCGAGCTCGAGCTCTGAACTCACCAATGCATTAACATGGATGTGATGAGGCGACCAGTGTAAGCAGTAGTGATAATGGTGATAGAAGGAATTGTAGCAGTCATAATTCCTAATGGTAGTACTAATACCTAGACCTAGACCACTACAGTTGCAATGAAGGCCTTATGAGAAATAGATGTATGTAATGATAACAGCTTTAGTACCACGACAAGGACTTTGTCCAGAACCGGGCATTGCACAGCAACAGCGGTGCACAAATTGACAGATCATACTTGACGACGAACAAAGCGGAAATTGCACAAGCAGTGATAATGCCAAACGGACAGCAACAACGCCACAACAGCCCAAGCACAAGTCAAAACTAATCGTGGTGTTCGTCGCATTAATCGCCACAACAAGGCGGAAGCTAAGCAACAATAAGCACAACGAGAATCATAATGATCACGATGATTCTCTTACGATCGCGCATGACCCCCCGAAGCTACTGACAAGAACAAAAAGATCTCAACTTAGTAGCAGCAAAGAAGTAAAAAACGTAGTAGTAGTAGTAGTAG